AATTATCAAAGCTCTTAAGAGGGTGAAAATCTGGAACCAGGATAAAGAAACCTAGAGAAGAGAAAAGATAGGAAAAGGAGCTCTGAATGGAAATCAAGAAAGAAAAGTAAACTAGAAAGTAAAGATGTAACTAAATTAGAAGAATGGTTTAGAAGTGGCATGGGGATTATATGAGTGTGTATGAAAGGAGACAAGCAAAGATTGGTCACAGATAGTAAATCAAGACGAAAAATTGCAAATTAAGGCTTTATTTTGACATTAAAAATATTATTACCCTTTTCCTTTATAAAAGTAAAATGTGCTCATTGTGGAAGAGTTGAAAAATTTAAAAAGGAGAAGAAAAATATACCCTTAGTTTGTCACTCATGAAGCTGTTGTTAACATTTTGGTATATTTTCTGCTAGTCTTTATTTCTGCTGAGTTTTTGAAAGGTGTTGTTTGTTTTATGTAGTTGAGATAATACTGTTTATGCTTTTAAGCATCCCTTGTCTAACATCAACATATCCTAACACAAGGTATTTAATGGAAACTTCATTTTAAACATCTGCCTAATATTAACAAGAGCCAGTTCTCCTTTCTTTCCTGCTAAGAGAACTCAGGTTTGTTCAGGTGGTCAAGGGCTTCAGGCTCAAAGGTTGACTCCATTTCTACTCAAAAAAGGTGACTTTTTATTTAGTTTAAGCCAATTATGGTACAATTCTATTCCCGTTATCAGTGATCGGCTGAGGAAGTGGCAAGTAACATACTTCTGACCAATAAAATATAAGGGCAAATCTATATGTTAGATTTGTGAAAGAGATTCTTAGTTTCTTAAAAGTGATAGAAGGACGACATAATCCCTTTTTCTGCCTACGGAATGTGTGTAAGGAGGAGGCAGTGGAGCTAGTGCTTAGCGCTGTCAGCCATTTTGTGCCCATAAAGGAAGCCCAGCATACACACTAAAGATGGAAGAACAGAACAGTAGGAAGAATTGGACCTTAGTTGATTGTGACACTCCAATTAGTTATGCAGCCCTGAACCGTACTTTGAGACTTCTTCTTATGTAAGAAAATAAATTCCCTATTTCTTAAGCCCCTTTTAGGTGGGTTTTCTGTTCTATGCAGTAGAAAACATTCTAACAGATATAGCATGATAATTTACTTAAAAATTGTCCTCTTATGGGCTATAAGGTCATTTACAGTTTTTCACTATCAGTTTTTGCCTGGGACAGTTTCAAGAGAAAAAAGTTACATAGCATAAATAATAAGGTAGCTTGTGTTGGGGGGAAAAAACAACAAGCAATAAAAAAAAGAAACAGGAATGAACTTGAAATATCTCAGGTCATCAAAGCTGAATCATTCTGAATCTCCACACCCTTTATTGCTCATTGCTGTCAGCAGAGGTGGTTATCAGTGACAAGTTACACTATAGAAGGAAAAATTGAGAAACAGTCTCAATATAACATACTAATAAAGGCAAACACAAACCCCTAAAATACAAAAGTCATTCCTGTTTGCAGTGCATAATATGGGTTCCTCAATTGTTTAAATCTTTATTATAATAATATTAAAATTACTTTGATAATAAGAAAGGCAACCCATTATGCTAATACTTTTCTTGTATCAAAATTTGCTGTTGATTCTACACAGTGTTTAGTGCAAATGCATCTATTTTGTCATGTTGACAATCTTCAAGAACTAATGTTTCCCAAGTGCCTTTCAAGGGTAGGCTGCCCTTCCAGAATCAAAGTTGGGGTAAAAGTATCTGATTGAACATTATTTAAGTGAAGAGGTCCAAATGCCTGTGCTAACATCAACAGATGAACAGATGAAACTCCCAGGAACCACCTGTGGTTTTATCACTAGCGGTAGTTGGGCCTATTTATAATTTGAGATTTTTGATTTGTTGACTTTTTAAGTATTTAGTTGTTCTACAGTCAAATTTTTAAAATGCTTCCTCATGTTAAAAAGGGTGTGCCTGTGCAAAATAGCAATTTTAATTGCTACAATTATAAAGCACTAGTACTACAATGACCTACATTTCAAGGTTAGCATCAGTAAGAGCACCTAACATACATTCATAATTTTATAATAACAATTGATTACAATGTAATTCATTTGTAGAAATTATTTTTAAAGCCTTACTGCATAGACTACACAATGAGATTACAGTCACAGCTCAAGAGTAAATACCTAACTTGTTCATGAAGCTCTTCAGTGCTGTGGTTATGACGCGTGATATTTCCAACTCCTGGTCTCTTGCTAAGAGCATTGATTCATGAGTTGACTATGGTAGAGAGTGTAAGAAAAACACAGGCTAATCTAAAACTCAAATAATGAATGACTCTTCTCTGAACCAAAAAACCCGGCATATCAATTTCCTAAGATACAGGATATTTTCCCTATGATGTCTCATAAATTTGTTCATTTTCTGTAAACTTGGACAGTAAAAAGAAGAAGAAAACAAAACCCAGAATTTTGAGAGGAACTCACCATTTAAAGGTTCACCTGGCCAGGTGCTGTGGCTCACCCCTGTAATCCCAGCACTTTGGGAGGCCAAGGCAGGTGGACCACATGAGGTCAGGCATTTGAGACCAGCCTGGCCAATATGGTGAAACTCCATCTCTATAAAAAAATACAAAAATTAGCTGGGCATGGTGGCAGGCACCTTTAGTCCCAGCTACTTGGGAGGCTGAGAGGCAGGAGAATCATTTAGAACCGAGGTGGTGGAGGTTCTAGTGAACCAAGATCATGCCACTGCACTCCAGCCTGAGCAATGAGACTCCATCTTAAAAATAAAAATAAAAATAAAAATAAAAAAATAAAATTTCACCTAAGATCATGAAGAGTGTGTAGACAGAGTCTACCCTGACAGAAGCTAGATCCTGTCTGAGACTAGATGAATGCTGGATTTAAGACTCTAGATTGAGGGGAGCTGCTAAATTAGCCCTATCACAGGTTTTTAAATTATCTAAGTAGCCAAGATTCCAAAAATGTGTCACTAGATATAGAAACACAGAAACTTATAATGAAAATCAGTGGAAACTAGCACAGGGCTTGACACATGAGAAGCATAAAGTAAACATTTATTAAATTAATGAGTAAATAAATTAATTACAAATAAATTAACCTAAACTTTTAAAATAGTATGTGTATCAGATGGGGAACTGCTTTCTCCACTTCCTTCTCTCTTCTTCTTCTTTCCCTTCTGATTCCCATTTCTTCAACTAAAACAAATGGAGAGAAACAGTTTTCTGGTTACACCTATCTATGTATTCCTGTAATAGGGACTTCAAGGATATGCCTGCAGCTTGATAGCGAGCAAGGTTCATTCTTTGATAATTGGACTGAACCCTGTGTGATGGAACTGTGACACTTGTAGTCAGTAGGGGTGGGTGGGGCTGTGAGACTGACTATGTAGAAAAAGCCTGCAGGATTACAGGGGCTCTAGGGACAGTCAATGTTAACTCTGCCCTAAAGTATCCAAATCTTCTGTAGCAAGGCGGGCAGGATCTTGAGAGAGGAGGGGCAGGGAGGTCACTGAGTTAATTCTGTACAAACAAAAGAAAGCAAACAGCTGTTTCATTCCTCTAAATAACATGAGCACATGCACTCCATACTCCATCCCTGCCCCTACTCCTCAGGAAGACTTTGAGCTCATCCCATGCTGGGGACTGCATTTATGTGAGCATTAGGCACACAGGCTGGCGAGTGGACATTTTGTTGCAGAGAATTAATTTCTGGTGTGAGATAAATATAGCTTCTAGCCAGCTCCCCTGAAAACAGAGCAAGCAATTAGTCAGGAACACTGTTTGAAACCTCTTAGTAAGTTGTGTTGAACAAAGCACTGTTGAGCAATTTTGAGTTTAGTCCTCAAGTCTCTATTTTTCTGGAAGATTCTAAAGTACAAATATAGGACGTGTTGCTTGAAATTACCCTGAAAGTGAAACATGCCATCTCTACACAAATATACAGATTTTTAAAAAATTTGATAATGCCTTGTTTACTCTGTTGTTCCATAAGAAACAGTTTGTGAGAGCCTACTAAGCCACAGGTTCCTCTGTCATTCCCCCTTTAAGCTAAAACACTTTCCTTCCAGTCTCTGCATAGTACTACTCTTTATCTCCTTCGAAAGCCCTCCAACTAAATCCTACACTATACTTCAGGCTTGTCACTGTACTAGAGTCATGTTTCCCCAGGAACCATTTAGGAAAGGTTGAAATGCCTCAGAAGGTGATTACATATTCGCCATGAGCTCTATACGTGGAGTAACCAGCACTTCTGGCATTTTCCCAGGGACAACGACCATCCAGTGATGGAAACTTTGCTGATAACCTCAGTTTGCTTTGCAGAGAAATCCTAACCTTCTAGAAGAAAGGATACCCACCCTTGGAAAGAAATATTTTGTGAACATAGCTAAGTGGTTTCTCTTTTCTCCTTTTCTCTCCCATCTTCTTGAAGGTTGTATCTTCCTGTACACTTCTGTCGAATTTTAGACGTCTCTCCTAAAGGCAGGATAAAGTTCTGTCTATAGTGATAAATCATAGTGTTCAAAGTCCAATGGTAAGAAAATTTGCCCATCATAAACTGTAACAGTAGGCCAAGGACTTTTCAAAAATGAAGTGGCAAGAAGCTCTCACCTCTTTTATGCTTCCTGCTTCTTCCCATGCTGTGCTTTCAAGTGGGACAACCATGAAAGTTGCATGTTATATTAAGATATTGCATTTATCTGAAGGAATAATACACAAGGAATCAAAATAAACAAAAGGGGATAAAACCTCAGGGGCATCAATGTTTTAATATCTTTGAAAAACAAAGAAACAGCCCAATTCTCTAATTCCAAAATGCCACCATACAAAAAGGGAAGGGCTGAAGTTGCAGAATAAGAATTCTGAGAAATCCTATTTTTTTAAACCTAGGGATAAAGAATGCCGTTTAGTATCAAATTCTAAAGAGGCAGCCCACTCTCCAGAATCTAGAGGAAAAACAGAATTGAAATAGCAAGACACCTTTGTAGGAGTGTTGAAACAAACAAGAAAAAGTTTTATTTTGAAAATACAGTCTTTAAAGATAAAATTTGGCTTCCATTTTCCATATCTAGGTGCATCCGACAAGATACAAAAACAAACAAAACAAAGGCCACAACATTATGTACAGAGCTCTAAAATGAGCTGTGAATATCTACAAGAAACTAGCATATACTCTTTGTGAAGGGATGTAGTGTGTGGCTTTCTACAGTTCTCAGTCCCCCAGAAGAAGAGTTAACTCCCTGGAGCTGCAGGTGCGGCTGCAGCAAGGGAAGAGCTGGGGTCAGTGAAGGGCTAGGGGTGCGACCCCCGGGTAGGAGACGTGGAGAGGTGTCTGGGGAGGGGAGCAGCGGCGGCACGGGACAGATCCTGGGCTTCTCTAGAAGTCCTGCCGCGGGGTGTGAGTCAGGCTGTGCCGCCGCAGATCACAGTTTCGCCTGAACACTTTGCCGCACTGCTCGCAGCTGTAGGGCTTGATGTCTGTATGGGTGAGAAGGTGAGTTTTCAGATTACTTCTCTGATTAAAGGTTCTTCCACATGTGGGACATTTGTGTGGAGATTCCTGTTCAGATGTGAAGCAAGCAAAGGATTAATCCTTCACACTACCACTGCACCCTTTTCAATAGCTTCTCTTATCGGTATCACAAGCGTTAACGTAACACTCGCATTAACAACAAAAGAGGGGACTTGCAGGAACAAATCTGTGCTCCTAATCCTCCAATCATGAAAACACACGTGCAGGCATAAACAGAGGCCGATTACACTGATAACTTCGGAGGCAGACCCGCGGCCACCTCGGTGGGCTTTGTGATTTCCAGCTCTTCACATTTCATCACCATGTCATAGGCAGGAAAAGCGGGAAGGAAAAACTCTAATCCTCTCTTAAGGAATTACATTCTCCCGGGTAATAAGGCTCCTCTTTGCTGGAAAACTAAACTATTCCTCAATGTCCTGAAAGCTACAAATTATGAGGCCCCTGGGAAAGACAGAGTATGGGATTTCACCATGCCTCCATTATCAAAATTACCTTTATTTCCTCCTAAACACGAAAGCTTTAAATATAGGGCAGATTGGATGAAAAAAAAATCTAAAATTAGGATTTATGATAATCAAAGTGGCCTGTTCTTTAAGAAAAATTTTAAAATGCTTTATGTTACGATTAATTTTATGTATTAAAAAAATTAAGAGGGCTGCTCTACTCCACCTAGAGAACTAATCTAAATAGAGCCTTTTGAGAGAAAGATTCTGTCATTTAACACCTTTTGTAAAGCAATAATGATAAAATGACCAGCCACTGTTTTAAAACAAGAAGGCAAGCTTACCTGCATGTGTAAAGTTTTGTGAACTGCTAGAGTTCTGGACTGACAAAATCCTTTCCCACACTCCTGACATTTGAAGGGTTTTTCTTTGGAATGGATATACCTGCAAATTAATATAAGGTTTCATTGAAATAACTTTACCCTGATGGTGAAGAGTTACTTTTAACAATTACTCAAAAAAGAAGTCATGGAAGAACAAAAGAAACAAGATTTTCATTTACCTTTTAAGATTTTTTTTTCCTCCTATGTAATTCTGTTTATGGTTAACCTCAACTAACAGATTCTCTTTTATCTACACTTGATCCCCCTCTCTGGCATATTCTGGAGTTTGAAATCCCTGCGAATGATCCTTTCTTGGCCTCCATGGTTTTCTCTGGGATTTAAACTGGCCAAATCGCAAGGCTGAGTTTAGAGGTGCTAATTTTAGTGAATCCCTTAACAACCTTGGAGGGTGGGTATGGAAGTTTCATCTCCGAAGAACAGCAGGTAGAGTCCAGAAGGGATCCCCTAAAAAGATCTCCCCCATTCCTGAGAAGTTTTACCCAGTGACAACACTTACATTATTGTATGTCTTCAATTGTCTTGTATTAATGCAGAGTTTAAGGTCGTGGAAGGGATGTGGGAGCTGTTTGTAAATTCAGTGACCTCAAGAACCCCTCCAACCCACAAATACAGCTTAAAAGAAGGGTTCCCGGGGTAGGCTCTGGGGCACACCTGGGTGGGAGGGGGCTTGAGGCGGTGGGGGGGCGGGTGAGGGGAGGGAGGAAATCCCACAAAGGTGGCCGGATGGCAGCCTGAACCGGTACCCCAGGGTCCCTCGGTTCTTCCTGCACCACTCCCCACAGCACCAGGAGAAGAGAGGATAACCCTCCGAAGACTAAGGCCTCACCGGAATGTTCCTCCCCAAGACTGAGGAAAGGGCCTCCCTCATCCCAAACAAGAACACAGCAGGCGCAGGGTGTTGGGGAAAAGGGTAGATGTTGGGAGTTAGCTGAACCGGGCTGGAGAGCGTGTTTGAGGGCGTATTCTAGATCACAGGGGCTTATAATGACACTTGGAATGTCTATCTGGACTCAGTGTGTCCAGGACAAATTCGCTTTCCCTCTCCCTGCCATCCTCCTTGCCCGCCTCACCTGTGATCCCGCAAGTGATCTTGCCTCCGGAACGCCTTGTGGCAGATGTCACACGTGTATGGCCTCTCGTCCGTGTGGGTCCTCTCATGGATGAGCAAATTGTAGGATTTGGTAAAGTGTCTGCCGCAAAACTTGCAGATAAACTCTTTTTTCGTTTTGGAAGGCAACCTCCCTCGAGAGGGCTTTCTGTCCGGAGTCAATTTACTGAGGCTTGAGATGGGGCTACCCAGCCCTGGACTCAGCTTGGTCAGGTCTCCCATCTTAGGAGGATCCTCTTGCGTGGCAGCCACTGCCAAGTTGGCAAAGTCAAAACGGGGCCGGTCCTTGTGCAGGGCTGGGAGGACGTGGGCAATGGCCCCTTGCTTGGGGTGAAATAGGTGGGTGGTAAAAGGCAGGGCCGGGAAGGGGAAGCGTGCATCCACAAGCCCCTGCGCCGCCGCCATCTCCGTGATGGTGGAGCGGGTGATCTCGTGCACATTGGGATACCCCAGCGTCCAGTGGTTCATGTGCATGGTCTGCACCGCGCTGAGACCGTACAGGCCCTGCAGGTGGTCCACCGCAGCCGGGAAGGTGTTCACGGCCTGCAGGAAGGAGTAATTGGTGAGCTGCAGAGACGGGTGGAGCGGGATGGGCGCTGGCAGGGCCTTGCTCCCCATTTTCCAGGATGCTGGGGAGCTGAGGGTACCACTCCTTTCTTCCAGTACTCAGAGGCGGGAGGGCTTGGGGCTCCGGCAAAAACCCAGTGACACAACAGCACGTAGAGAAATCTCTAAAAACGACAGGGAAGAGAGGAAAAGATCGTGAGTATAATTCAAAGCTGCTCCTTCTGCCCTTTGGCACCCGCGCAGGTTACCACACCTAAGTCTCCCTCCCTACCCGACTCCAAGACCCTCGAAAGAAGAAGTGAGGGGACTGCGTAGCACCTGCTCAAATCCACATGCAGCTCAGCCCTGGGCCGGGGCAAGAAGTGCTCTGCCGGTGAGCGGGCACCCGGCAACGCTTCTGGGTGCCCAGAGGAAGGAAGGTCAGATTCGGACTCTGGGGAGGCACAGAGCAGAAGACTCCTCGGTATCAGGAAAACGAAAGGCGGACACTGGGGCAGCACTCAGCCCAGCCCACCCTCCCCAAGCCGGTCAGGCGGAGCTCAGACAACTGCAACGCCAATGCTGGCAGGCCGGGTCGAGCCTCTGTCGCTGCTGCCGCTCTGAGCTCCGGGGAACGATAAGTTGACCGGTGGATCGTGGATCCCCTGCGCTGCGCTGCTGCGGCAGCGCCCTGCAGCCGCCTTTCCCGCGTTTACCCGGATGGCACCTGGCGTGCGAGAGCACAGCCAGCGCGCTTCATCCTCCAGGGCCGGAGGACCCTGGGAGGGCCCCGTTTCACCCGACACTGACCTCAGAGGTTTTCTTTTCCCTTCCTTTGCCCTCAGTCCCATTTATCAGCGGTGAGGGGCCACAGGAAAGAAAAGTGACACCTCATGGCCTGGATTCGGCCTAGAATCGCCCCCTCCTCCTATCCAGGGGCTCTCCTCCCAACCCCCTACCAAGATCCCTTCCAGATGATTTAGGCTCTCAAGGGGTGGGGTGGGGGCGGAGAACGTCCCTGAGGCCGAAATCCCTTTTCCCAGGCTGCTCCTGAACTGCTTCTCAGTCTGGTACCGAGAGAGACGAGAGAGGACGGAGAGAGGAGAGAGAGAGGACGCTCTGCGGAGGGTGAAGAAAGACGCTGCAGGGGAGCCCTCAGTAGGCCAGGCACAGGGTGGTCCTGCCGGCCTGCAGGAACCCTATCTGTCGACCTGGAGGTGAGTGCGGCTGCGCTCCCACCACCAGGACGCCCTGTCTGGGGTCTGCGGCCTGGGCCTAAGCAGGGCGCTCCCCTATCCTCGTGCTCCCAAAGGCAACACAGGTCCGATTTCAGACCCATGTTCTCCGGAAGCACTTCGCCTGCCTTCACGGTGGGCCCACCTTCTCCCACTGCCAGCCCCTTTTTAGAAAAAGATTCTGCCAGCTCGTGGGACCAAGGCCTTCCCTCTGAGGGCGGCCCACCAGGTGTAGGAGTCAGAGCTAAGCACTTGTCCCGGAGAGGGGCAACCCGGCCACTCTGCGCCAACAACCGCCAGGCCTGGCGTTTGAACCCAGCGGGAAGGCAGAAGATTCCAGCCTTCCCTTCCCACCTAAACACTTCCGCCGCCTGAGTCGTGCTCTGCAGCGCCTTGTGAAGTAATGCCGGCGGTTCCATCTGTGAGCCGACTTAGGGGGCTACACTAATGACAGAGTGCTCTGGCAAGAGGCGATCTGGCTGCCTCCGCGGGGCCCACACCTTCCTCTGTTTGGAAGGGCTTGGAGACAGAGATTTATTAACGAATCGCTTCGGCTGGGTGGTATGCGGTCTGGGAGTTTAAGCTAGGAGTTAATGAGAGGTGTGTAACAGTCAGAGGGTCTCAGTCAGACCATTCAACCACAACTGCAAACCCCCATTAGTAATCAGCTTTCCCACCACAAATCACGATTCATTTTTGCTCTGCGGCAACTCTCGAGTCCTCTCTTAGGAAGGCAGGAAAAAAAGGATTCTACTAACATTCCTGGTAATCTATCTGATTATTTACTTTTTAATTAAAAATAATAAATTACACCTTTATTTCCTTCTCTTTGCATAATGAGGATTTTCCAGAGATTCAAAATATTATTTTTCCCTTCGTGTTGAAAAGTAGCCTCTCTCCCATAGAGAGGAAACCAAAATTATTATTTGGGTGTATTCCCAGACTAGATTTCTTAGAAATAAATACAGGAGGCAAAGCACAACTTCCACCACAGGATGATGAGTTGGGGGGTGGGGAGAGGTTGGGGGGAGTGGTGTCAGCTAAAGTACTGTTGTGACCTGTGACTTCTATTCCAAATGCACAGTGAACACTGCCATAAAGGTTACACTGCCACAAAGTTCAGTGCCATCTTCTTTCCCTTTTTTCTGAATGGTTTTTAACATGGAAATTAACGACTAGTGTAATTCAGGTTCATGTTGACCAAAAAAAAAAAAAAAAAAAAAAAAAAAGTGCTATTTCATAGGACGTTTTAATTTGCAGGGCAGATAGTTTCTTCACAGGGGAAGGGCAGACCATTGGTCCCTTTAAAACCCTTTTTTAAACAGAACCACCTTGAATATCCACCAGTGGCTCTTGCCATAAATAATTCGGAAGTTTAAATTTCCACACTCCCTTTGAGTTGCTGGAAATGTATGTCAAAAGATTTTAAGCGAATGCAGAGATCCTAAAGTACTTTCGTTTTGTCTAGAGCTGAGCCCTTTAGTTCCCACACTCACTTTCAGGAAATCATTGCTGTCATTTCTCCACCATCCCGTTTCAGACCACTGGTTACTTTTAATTTTGCAAGGAAATAACTTAAACCAATGAAGAGGCATAAATATTTTGGTGGAGCTGAGGCTACTTTTCTTTCATCAGTCTTCTTTACAGGAATTTCCAGGTATGTGGAGAAACTTTGTAAAATTTAGTTGACTGGCTGTCAACAAGGCAGATGTGTACACACTTAGTTCAGTAAAGCTTTCAAAACATTAGGAAAAAAAGGTAAGAAGTAGCTTGATAAGGAGTTTTGCTCTTTGGTAATAGTATTATTACATTGAATTATCTAAAAAGAATATACAGTCAGGGTTCATCTGCTAAAACCTGTGCATCTGTATCTGAAAGAAATGATTGATGGTTGGATAGGCTCGCTGAATTTCATCCCAAACCACAACAGAATTTTACATAAATCAGAGAGCTATAGAATAAGTAGATCTAAGGAGATCATTAATAAGAAAAAAATTGTTTAAGCCAGATTGTATCAGGTGAATAGAGAAATGGCTGCGAAGTTCCTGCCCCTTCAAAGCGCCTCTGCCTTCCCAAGGAGTTAATTAAATTAAGATGCCTTCCGCATAATCTGGGTTCTGTTTCTCTCTGCTCCACTTGCTCCCCCTGTGTAATTTTCTTTTTCTGTGCTTAGGACTGGCTTGTTTAGCAGAGAAAGTGGCTGTCTTCGCCCTTTAGCTTCGGGAAATGCCAGCCCCCTTTTGTTCTCTGCTAACAGGTAGGAAGACAGATCCAGGGCTCCGTCGACAAACACCTTTTCCTCGCTCCTTCTTCGAACAACTCCAACTCCTTTCTCACTTGCGGTTTCTCGGGAATCCGAGCGTTTAAACCCCGGGGGAGTTTGCTTTTGACCCCTGTCAGTCAGAACTGGAAAGTGGAAGGAAAATTTAAAAGCCAGCAAAAGGTTGACGAATTACCAAGGACTGAACTCTTTCACTCTGGAAACGCGCCTTCAGTGTCTCTGGCTGGGAAGGCACCGTGTGTCCGGGCCCGTCCACGCTGCGCTGCCGCGGCTGCCCCGGGACAGGTCGACCCGGGCTTGCTAGGGCAAAGCCAGAAACACCATGGGGTTGTGGGGTTTGATCTCAGTGTACGTCAACCAGCTTTTATAAGAAGTCTTGCTGACTGCTTAAATATTCCAAAACAAAACTAAGAAACAGTACGTAGAAGTGTGTGTGATTGGGTGTTAGCTGGGAGTCGCGTGCCAGGGACCAAGGAAGAGAGAAATACAGTGCCCTGGGATTGCATCCCTATGATCTATTTTCACATCTGAACTTGGAGCACACCAGACCGAGAATCTGAACGCCTCTTGTACCCCCAAACCCTTCCTTCCAAAGGGCGGCTACAGCCCCTTCCCAGAGCGCACACTCACCTCCGGGAGAAAGGTCTGTTTGGGCAGCCCGGCTCAGACCTGGTCTTGGCAGCGAGGCGCACAGCTTGGAAAGATCACTGAGTCCACGTCTGGCAAACTTCTTTTCCCGCGCGGAGTGGCTGGAGTCGCGGACATGATCTGGAGGACCGCGAGCAGCGAAAGCGAGTGAGGATCCACGTCTTCGTCAGAGTCTGTGAACGCCGACTATGTAAAGACCCGGGGTGCTTGGAGCGGGCGCTCAGCGCTCGCCCAGAACCCCGCGCCTCGGCGAGCCTCTCGCTGCCGACTTAGGATTAGGTTGGAGCCCGCCGCCTTGCAGGGCCATCACCCTCCAGCAGCAAGCGCGCCGAGCTCCGTCCCCGCCCGCGTCCCTCCCCAGGCTGCCCGAGGCTGGGAGTCGTGGGCTTTAGTAGCGGCCCCGCCTCTCCTTCGGGCCGGCGTCCCGCCGCCGCGCGGGGCCCTAAGCGCCCTGGCTCCGCCTTCGCGCCCGGCGTCTGCTAATGGTCCACTCTGTTTACTTGTGTTTGGATAGCAACTGAGTCTTAAAGGCACAGGTTTGCTTGAGGTTTCCCTGTTACAGAGACGCAGTTGTAGGTGACTCAATTCAAAACTTACACAAAACACAAAGCCCACCCCCTTCCTTCTCATACTTTTCCTCATACTATTAGAAACTCAACTACTGCTTCTCTGCCTCTCAAAGACCCTGCAGAGAAATCCAAAGAACATTTAGTAGTTTTATTTGGTTCGCTCGCCGGCTTAATTTGCACATCTTAACATATTCAATTCAACTACCTTCTTCGTAGAGTAAAATCAATCAGTTCTAGACTATTCTCCAGCACAAATCACTCTTTCCCCCATTTTAAACAGCTTTGTACATACTTTTGGTTAATTATGACTACATGTGTAGTCTGCTTTCGCCTGCTGTTTTCTAAACGAAGTTTGTTTATAGAGGTGACAATTGACTAATTTTGTAATTATTGCAAAGACGTGTGGAATGCCCCAGGAGAAATTTCTTCCAATATTTAAGCTTTAATCAGCAAATGTTCATTTCATACGCAGTAAACTAACTTGGTTAAAGGAGTGGGCATCTGCAACCCATTGGCAAACAATAAAGAATCCATCTGGAATGGGTGAAGAACAATCATTTTTAAAATTTAGAAAAATGCGATTTTAGTTTTTCAAAACATTCACATCTTCATTCCCAGCAAAAATTGAGTTCATTGTTCAGTCGCCAGGAAAGTTAATCGAATTCAAAATACAGTGATACATTTTTCAAGTTCTTCTAAAGGTTTGGTCTTGTGTGAGTGAAACTGCAGAAGTCACCTCAACCACTCTGGAATGGGGGTGACCGAGTGACAGGAAGGAAATGATACACACCCATTTTAAGCAACTTCTTTTCAGATGAAATCTGTGATCAAAACTAAGCAAAAACGCCTTCGTCCCAGACGAGTCGCCAGAGGGGATTTGCGTTACCCTCCACGGCAAGCCCGCACTTTGAAGACGTAGATCTTCAATCAAGAGGCTGTACAATTCAAAAGTTTTCCGTCGAAAGATGGTTTGGGATGCGACTCCCCAAAGGACAATTTTTAAAAATCTCAATCGTGCGGGGAAGTAGACAAATATAAGCAGAGGCTAAAAAGAGTCAAAAGGCTAAGCAGTAATTGGGGAATCAGGCAGAAGCTCCCAGATATATTTTATTAAGATAAAAATCTT